TATCCATATTTGCTAAAATCAACAAAATAATTCTGAAAAATAGACTAGGGAAATATTTTGGAAAAAAAACTGATTTTTGAATAATGCACAGTATGGGTTACGAGAAAATCGCTCTACAACTCTTGCAATTCTTAATATATTGGAAGGCATAGTTGAGGGTCTGGAACAAGGTGTACTCACGGATATTACACTCTGTGACTTGTCAAAAGCCTTCAACTGTGTCTCTCATGAGATACTCATTTTTAAACTTAATTATTACGGTATTAGAGGGGTGGCATTGAAGTTATTCAGTTCATGTTTAGAAAATAGAAAACCATGTGTTAATCAAAGAAACTCTGACTTCTACCTATATCTGTCATTTATATAAATGACCTATGCTACTTCCTATTACCCAATAAAAGCGTTCTATTCGCCGACGACACTACTTTGATGAGTACCGGTAAAAACCTTTTGGAACTCACTTCTCATAACATTTGAAAAACGTGCTAAAAATTGGTTTACTGCAAACAAACTTAAGTTGAACGCAAGCAAATCCCAAAAAATAACCTCCTCTAATATGAACTTACAAATGGGAAACACTGTCAAGCTACTCGGAATTGTTATTGATGACAAACTCACATGATCGAATCACATAGAACAGCTCTGTAACAAATTAGTAAGTAGGTACTCTGTTTCTTTTGGGGCAGTTGAAAAAAGCGATTCAACCTGATACTCTAAGAATGACATATTTCTCTCTGTTTCATTAGCAGATAATCTATGTAATAATTTTATGAGGAAACATCACTCGTACAATAACCATCTTTCGACAAAAAAAAGCAGTAAGAATTTTAGCTGGAGTTGGATATAGAGACCAAACTTTATGAAGTTTGGCATCATGTCTTTACCTTAATTATATATCTACAATTATTTATTAGAAATACACAAAAATGTCAACCACAGTCATAAACCCAGTCAGATATACATGAGCATAATACTAGGTATGCTAAGTTATTAAAAACTTCAAGGTATATACTAACCAAATCTCAAAATAGTTCTCTGAATATCAATCTATATAACAGCTTGCCAGAGATAATCAAATCGCTTTCGATCAGTTCAAAAACGCACATACATTCTTGAATACTGCTTTTACTCTACAGACGAGTTTCTCGTCACAACAAATCAACTGAGTCATGCACTCAACACATCGCTTCTCTGAAATGTTCCATTCTGTTTATGCTATTAATTTATGTCTCACTGAAAAATAAAATACATGAAACAATGATAAGAATTAAATAAAAAACAACAATAAAAATTAATTGGCGCTCCGGGGCGACTTCATTGATTCCAGTGGCGCATTTGCTTTTTCAGCTGCAGGAAAACCCGGAAATACCTGCAGCACCACATCATCTGAAGATCTTGATCTTGTCTCACTTTATTATGTTTGTAACACATCCAAAATATTATATGTTTTATTGTATTATTTTATCCATTGTATACTTTATATTGTATCTAACATGGTGAAAATATATCTATCTATTATTTATACTGAATTGTGGTTTGAAATAAGTGTAGGATTGAATCAATTTTATGAGCATTTCCGAAACTTTCATGGATGGATCATCTACAAACAACACAACCCGTCTGACTGGAAAATTAGTTTTATGTAAATGAGAAAATAAAGTTTTTTTGGGTCGCTATGATTCATGACAACTGCCCTGCATTTGTCAACTTCACTCATTACAACCTCTATTGACTTGAGGGGTTTCTTCAACCTCCCTTCGGTAATGGGTTATTGGATCCTCCCCCAGAATATTGTTATAAATTCAGAAAATCAAAGGTTTTCCTTACATATTTGCTCTTATCTATGGCAATGAGATTCATCAAGAATCGGTTAGTTCTATAAAATTTTTGGTCAATACAATATTTTGTAAAAAGACATTTTATAGAATTCAGGAACAAGTTGAAAAAATTGGAACCGGGTCAAGATCATATTCCTAGGACAGCTTAGCAGTACAATTCAAATTAGTCTGTTATAAACCTTTTGCAGGATTTCTAGGGAGCACAGTTCCACATAGGGAAGGTTAGGTAAGGAAGCGTATCTATTTCTAAATGATCCTATTTTGGAACAGCTTGTGTTATTTTCAATATATCAGGCAGGAGTATATAACTGGATTCCTCACACTAATTCTGGTTGTATATCTATACCATCTAAACTGAAACCTTCAGTTCATAGGTCAAGAAGAGTACTTCGACCACGCCACTGAAGATGACTGTTGCAGTTGAAACGTTTGGTGATTATAACCAAAGAAGACCACGGCAAAACCAGGAAGCCCATCAAAACAGTGAATACAATTATCCATACAACATATGTAGATGTTATTTTAGGTGATATCGTTATCAATATAATCAACATAATAAATTCAAATACTATAAGCGTAGGAATTCTCTGTTATAAACGGTCAACCAACAAGAACCAATAGCTGTAGTAGTACTTTGGTAATATAGAAACTACCAACTCGGAAAAAAATATAAATTGTTATACTTTGAATGCTGATCAGATCACTGATCATAGCTCTCAGTGTACTGAGAATTTTCATACCAGGTTATCAAATTTCTCAAATATAACTTTTCTACTTGATTTTCAAGCTACACCCTGGTACCCTGAAAGAATTGCGGAAACTTAATATTTATATATAATAACTCTGATTGATATACAAGCACCCATGAAAGCGATTAGATTGAGTAAACAAAAAGTCAGTTGGCTGACGGATTTCTTAAAAATTATGAAAAAAAAAAAAATTAGTTCTGGCAAAATTCAAAAGGTATGGAAATTGCCAGTAAGAAACAAAAATTAGGATACCTGAGCTTCATTCAAAGAGAGTATGATACAAACAATTCTTAAGATACTTTACTTTTACTAAGGATACTAGTAAAATGAAAGTCAGACATACACATCAGCAACCTGAACTACTGTTTGCTGCTTTTTGCATGTGTGTCAGCTTGGGATATGGAATGATGAGCAAATTCAGCTATAGGCTATAGCATCGCTGGATATGGGAATAACAAAATCGCTCGTAGTGTTATTGCCTAACCAAATGATATTTCAACTATGACTTTATCCTAACGTGTGTGTATCCTGAACTCATCAGTTGTCACAAACGGAACCTTCGAGAGACCGAGTGCTTTCTAGTCGTAGAAAGTCTGTAATGCAGAGCTCAGTATTTTTTAGTTGTTTCAGGGATTTCAAATCATTTTATATAGTAGACAATGGAAGTCCGAACTAGTGAAATTAATAATGATTTGATTTATGCGCGTCCAAAAACTGGTCCCCACTATATTTTGTCGATGGAGATAACCCCCGATTTCTATTCGTCACCCTAATATGACTTCGAATATAATTTTATGACTTTTCAGCAATTATAAAACTCGGTTAGTAAAAATTATCCAATACGAACCGCCAAGTCTACAGTCCACCTGGACTAATTCGCTATCGAATCATTTTAAAGTATTGGTTTTTTTGGCCTTTGAGACTGCCGCCTACTTCAAGAGTGCACAGTATCGTTTACTTCGACTATACGGTTGACTGGAAAGTGAGTCTATAAAAAACATAGAGTACTGGGAAAACATACTCGAAAACACACTGCTTCAACAAATCAGGGATTGGCTCAGAACAATTATAGAGCTACTGACTGTACACTATCCATTGAGAGAACACCTCAACAAAATAGAGTTGTACAACAGAGACCTGTAGGGAATGTAACAAAGGGACAAAAACAGTTCGCCATATTTGTGAGGCACTGGCTCACAGGAGGCAAACAAAGTATAAGACAACCCAAATCAAGTCCAGAAGAATATGACATACATCCAGTCCGGGAGCTGTACAAAATTGCACAGGGTGCAAGATTGTTGGAATGGGTGTCTTAAACACAGTAAGGTCACATATTAAATATTTAATCTGTGGTAAGGTCATGAAGCAGCAGTGTTTATCGAAGACTTGGGAGAAATGGACAAGTCAGGCGGCTCCCAGCTAGTAGAAAATAAAAGACCTTTTTGAATACGAGACCTGTTTCATCAAAACTAGAGAACAGTGTAACACTTTATAGTCCCGATATCAGTAGTTTCCTGTTTGGGGTAAAAGCTAAGGAGACAGAACACTATTTGCTAATTGAAGGTCAATGTGGAAGCTCAGATAACGCTATTTGCCAATTGAAGGTTAATGTGGAAGCTCAGAAAACCACCGCCGTTTAAAATTATTTTTAAGCGAGGTTTGAGTTTTCTACTCATCACATAGATAGTTCATAGGTCATTTTATCTCCTTCTTGCTAAGATTGTAAAGAAAAACTACATATGGGTAAAAAAATTACGTCATTTTTTCGGATGGCTTCTCAGTTTACTAATGAACAGTGAGAAGGAGCGATAATAGTCAGTATTATCACCTAATCTTAGTTGAGTTTGAGGTATTTTCTCATTATATTTAATGGAGTGGCTGTATACTTTTTTATACACTTCGAGTAACTTTGAAAAATTAGAAAGTAATGAAAAAGAGCCAAAAAGTTTATTTTAGGTGCCTATACTGATAAACACCTAAAATAATCATTTTGGCTTACAGAGAAATGACCCAGTTTCCGAATAAGGAGAAATATAATACCCTCTCAACATTAAATATTATTGGACGAAATCATGAACAATAAAAACATTCCTTTGGTAATTTATTTTTTCTTCGATTTTAAGTTAATTTTGGTAGACTTATGTTATTACCTGGATTTTGAACATTGGCTTCTCTGAATAGAAGAAAAGCTACATTTTTAGTCATCTCCTGATGATGCTAACTTGGTTAGTTTCAGTTCTGGTGTGGAAAAAGTGTTTTCATTGGAAATAATTATGATACAATGTCTCGGTATTAGGCCATTGACAGTTAATGTCATATTATTAAGTAGGGTGTGATATTTTTAGTTTGTAAAAGGAACCATTTCATAATTATGCCAAAGATTCCAGAAACTTAAATATTGAAACGCAACATGTAACAATAATAATTTATTAAAAACATGATTCATAATCTATGACAATGATATTTATTGAAAAATATGCACTGAAAATACTACCGCTTTTAACAAGGAACTTGAGGTCAGTGAGTTGGAAAGGCCTTAATTTTCTTTGATATTGGCAGTTTTACTTACAAAAAGTGGACGCCAATACCAAATTGTATTCCTGGATGTATTTGATCTCCTTTATCAAAAATGTATGGAAAACAGTAGTTCACTTCTAATCTTGCCATATTTCCAAGCCTCAAGGCTACTCCTAATCCATAGGATATTCTGAGATTTTTTTTAAGATTATCCAGAAGGTTACTGTTCTTTGCTAAAACACGTATCAAATACAAATTTTTAAGTCAATATAAATAGTTTCGTTAAAAAAAAAAGAAATTACTGTTCACAAATACAAGAGGAATATTTTTCAACATATCATATTCAAAAAATTATATCATTAAAAATTTCCCAAGTTACATTTCCACAAAAAGTTCTGCATCATAAGAAACATGAATAAAACACTTAAATTTGACGAAAAATTTAAAATTGTTTAATGTTCATTTTATTTCATTCACAGTACTCAAAAAAGTCGTCAAATCGCATATGAAGTTGTAGAAAGCATTCAAAACTCTTTTTATTTTTACCCTGTTCAAGATGATGAAAAAAAGTTTATGACCAATATTGATGTACATCTCTATCTGTGGATGAATCATTATATGGAGGATTATACAAAATTGAGTATTTAATAAAAACACTGAAATTGTAATCATTTGAATGATATGTGAGAAAAAACACCATTAAAATATCAATTACAAAACACAATTAAAATATCAATTACTTTTTATCAAGAAATCTAATTTTTCCCTACCTAGCTGAAAATTGCCTATATTTCCAGCATTCATAAAAAAATGTGTCCTAAACAGATCTCCAAAACCACCTTTCCCAGGCCTGAAAGGTAAAGGTGTGAACAAATGTAGCCCTGCTGCCCAAAATGCCATAGATCCTAAGGCATCACCATCGGAATGAGGCCCAACTCCTCTCATTTCGAAACCTCGAATCGAAAGAGGTCCTCCAAGAAAGTACTTGTCTGGTATGCTTACTTTCATATTTTTATTTAAATTTGCCATGTAGCCGGCTGAAAAACAACCTTGAAGAACCTGAAATTGAAAAATTACATTTTTCTGTTGAGATATAACATCTATCAAATTAAATCAACTGGTCATATATGAAAAATAAACCAATGTGATGAACATTACACTTTCATAAAAATGTATATATACCTAAGAAATAACATTGACATTATCAACAATTGTAACAAATAACATTTAATTTCGGGGTCTCTTATTACTCTCTATTTATTTATTCATTCATGTGTACAGGTATTTTATTAAAACAACGATAAAAATAAAATAAAAACAACAATAAGAATTAATTGGCGCTCCGGGGCGACTTCATTGATTCCAGTGGCGCATTTGCTTTTTCAGCTGCAGGAAAACCCGGAAAAACCTGCAGCACCACATAATCTGAAGATATCGATCTAACAATGTCCTCTCTCTTATAAAACAAAATGTAGGGTGTCCAGGTACAGGTAATCCCCATAAGGAAAAAGAAATATACAAATACAGTAATTACCTATTAGACACAAATGTTAATATATGAAATTGAAATAATATAAACCTAAAATCAACATCCCAGGTGGTCAAATATTAAATTCTATTGGTAGACTGTTTTAAAAGTATTCAGTGAAATTGCTGTAAAGTTACAATTGAGACGGATGTCTTCTTGCATAAACCTTGACATGGGTAAGAAGTATCCATAGTTAATAAGATGATTAGGGATAGTGAAAAGATCATTGTTTCTGGTCGAACGAACAGGTAATCGGAAAAGACTTCACGTAATACTTCATTACAATTAATGTCACCTGATATAATTTTGAATAAGGTAACGATATCTGTATTTGTTTTACGAAAAGAAAGATTGTTAAGATTCGCAATATCAAGTATTTCCTAATAATTATATTCTCCAAATGTGAGATCATTAGAAGGTTATAAGTCTGGTGACGCATACTCTAAAACAGATCTAGGTAAATAATTCTGGTGGTAACCAACTGTTACATCCATACAATTTCAGAAAACGAAACCAAGAAACTCAAGAGCTTTATTGTTATTGTCTTTATCATCCCAAGAAACATTAGTTGTTTATGACTATTGATTGACTGAATAAACTAAAGATACAAATTCAATAAAATAATGAAATATCAAACAATTGATGGTGGTGTTGAGGTGGGTGGTGAATGAAAGGTTCGCATCAAATATTATAGCCAAATCCCTTGTTTCATTGAGTCGATTTGAACTGACATTGTCATGAACATAGTTGACGGAGATTTTATTTGTTCTAGAAAACGTTATACAGAAGCAAATATTCCATTTGTTGAGGTGGTATGAAAATTAGCAACTAGAATATGAATCAAAGAGCATAAAAACGACGGAGTGTCATCTGCAATTTATGCAAATGACACTTCTATTCTATATTCTAACAAAGCAAATGCAGCATTAGAAACACAGTCTAATAATATATTGCCAAATTTCTATCAGTGGTTTTGCTGGAATTCTCTTTATCTCAAGGCAAAAAAACACATACAGTATCCTTTCATAATGAACAAAAACAGGTAGCTAATATAGACATAAAAATTGTCAATTATCAAATTGACAAAGTATTGTAACGAATTAAAGAATTAACTGTCTTGAACAAATTTATTTTCAACAATATTTCACTATCACAACTAATTCATATACAACACTTAGCATCTAACGCTTAATTTATCTTCACGGTTAGAATTCTTTCTTTAAACGCACAATTCACTTTCTAAGATTTTCAGACATCCTCTCTGAGCGAGGACCCGACCTTGGTAACGAACGTTCTAGATACCTCAGCGGTTTTGGTACTCATCTATTATTTTCGTGGCGGTTCGTTGATCGCATTCCTTTCGCGGTGAGTCATATGTTTGGTGTCTGAGATAACGGTCAGGGCCGGCTTCAGATTCATTACATTGCCCCCTTCTTAAAGACGTTTCATCCCGAAATGTCATCCTTGGCGTGTGTCGATACCTGTAGGACTCCCCATGGCTGCACTGTGAAGTTCGATGGAAGTAACACTCCACAGTCTTCATGCACGGTCGTGGAAGATGGTTACCGAACACCAAAATCTGGATGCCGCTGGATCTGAAGATCGTTTCCAACATGCTTCTCACAATTCTCCAGTCCAGCCTGCCGAGCCCAGAGGCTAATTACCAATTACTAATTGCCAAGTCCACGAGATTCTGGTCGAGCATCGTCTCCTTCAGTCTAGTAAGACTCCTCCAGACATCTTCATAGGACGGTTTGTCTCAAGAATGCTTTTTGGTCACCAAGTAGAAGATGTTTCTCTGACCCTTCTTCAACTGTAGCACTCCTCCGACTTCTGGATTCTGTTCTCGTAATGTTTGGAGCTGACTGAATTTCTTGTTGAATACGACAGCGATACCTTTGGACATTTGGAGATCCTCTGGCATGTGGTGAGCTAGTGCTTAATCAACTGGAACCTTGAAAAGGTCTCGGGGCTCTTCTCGAGTTACATCATGTACGACCTTCTGTCTGATCGAGTATAAGGACATGAATTACTGGAACGCCATTCCATCCTCTGGTGGTCTGAGGTCGCGAACTTGATCGTGATTTCCAGCATAAGGAGCCAATCTATTAAAATGGACGACCCTAGGCTTTCCTCGAGGTGGCTTATGGATTCAGTAGACGAGGTCATTAATCTTTTTCATGATTTTGTACGGACCTTCCCACGAGTTCCGCAACTTCGGTGATAAACCACGGCGTCGCTTAGGGTTGTACAGCCAAACTAGGGCACCGGTTTCGAATTTTCCAGCATTCGCCTTAATGTCATAGACCTTCTTCATTCTATCGCTGGCACTCCGGATGTTCAGACGGACTCGTTCATGGATGTCGTCCATTCTCTGCCGAAGCTTGCTGACATAGTCTTTCCCCGCAGTGTCTTGTTCTGGCGGCGTCCCAAACTTCAAACTTCAGGTCGTAAGGAAGCCGCAGCTCTCGGCCCATTATAATACTGGCAGAGGTTTGGCCGGTTGACTCGTGCACTGCTGAACGATAAGCCAACAGGAACAGGTGGACGTATTGGTCCCAGTCTCTTTGATGGTCAGAGACTACCTTGGACAAGTGGCGGTTTATGGTCTTATTCATTTATGCAGCTCCAATGAGACACACAATCGACATATCCATTCCTTTACCAGGACGTCAGCGAAGGTAAAGGCTTCCTGGTTGGGCAGGGCATAGGCTTCTGCCCATTTGCTGAAGTAGTCCATGGCTACTAGGATGTATTTGTTCCCATGGTCGGACTCTGGAAACGGGCCGGCGATGTCGATGGCGATTCTGTCAAATGGACTACCCACGTTATACTGACGAGAAAATTGTGGAGCCGGCTAGCGTGCCTAGGGTGTCATCGATTCTTGGAAGAGGGTAGCTGTAATTCTTCGTCACGTGATTTAGTTGGCGATAATCCATGCAGAACCTTGTCAAGCCGTCCTTCTTCACTAACACGACTGGGGAAGACCAGGGGCTGTCAGAAGGTTCGATGACTCCTTCTTTTCCCATATCGCTGACTATCTTGTCTGCCTCTTCTCTCTTGGCAAGAGGGAGTCTTCTAGCTGATTGTCGGATTGGTCGGGCATTCCCAGTGTCGATTCTATGCTAAACCACAATTGTTCTGCCGCCTTTTCCTTCTCTAATATCGAAGATCTCTTGGTACTTCTTGACTAACTCCCTCAGTTTTGATCGGTGAGTTGGTGGTATATCCTTGGAGGAAATGTCAATCAACTTCTCCAACTCTTTAGGCAAGTTGTTGGCTTGGCTAACAGAACACTCCGTATCACAGAGGAAATGGACGAACAGTGTCCCAGCATGGTTCCTTTCTTCAAGGTCACGGAAAGGTAGTTGACATTAATGACCCTGACTGGCACAACTTTATCAACACGCAACATGGTCTTCGCTAGTGCGATTCCTCGTCCAATTTTCTCATCGTGTATCTTGGGCTCGAACATTACCACCTTGCCGCTGCTCGCACTTCCGTCCAAGCGAGCCTCAAGATTCAGCCCTTTCAGGTACGCACACGTCTTCAGCCAACAGGAACCTGATCGTCTCTTCGCTTCTTCCATGAAGCACCAGCTCTTCTCCGCCGACACCTAGGATGCCGTCTTGGAAATTCAGCTCGAACCCTCTGGGAATTCATTATGTCCATTCCAATGATTGCATCGTCCTCGATGTTCGCCACCAATGCACGATGTTTCAATTTTGTGCTGCTCAACACCAATTCAATTGGTATTTCTCCAAGTACATTGACTGGCTCCCCTGTTGCAATGCGTAACTTCCAGCTTGACGGTTCAATTCTTGCCGGTGTTTTGGCAAAGGTTGGCCCAAGAATGGTTCTCGTCGCACCTGTATCTAGCAGCATGGTGCAAGGCTCCTTGTTGATGAGGCCGTCTACGAAAACACCTTTGTCTTGTCTTCGGAGAACGGCAACATATGCGTTTTTTACGGGGGCTTGCTGGGTACAGGCCGACGATTGCCCCTCTTATCGACCCCCTCTAGTTTTCCTGATTTGGGAAAACTGGACATTTGCTACGCACATGTCCAATTTTCCCACAGTTACAGCATCTTATTTGTTTCCTCTCAGGCAACACTTCTTTCATTACTTTCCTGAAGGTGGCCTCAATATCAGCAGGCACTTGTCCATCTTCCTCGATAGCTCGAACTTTGCTCTGTTTTGCAGCCTCAAACTCCAGAGCGTTTGTCAGTGCATCCACGAGATGTTTGGGATGAGCTAGTGTCAAGGCCTGCCTCATTTCTTGGTCGCTAAGTCCATCCAAGAATGCCTGAACTGCTAACCGCTCCATTACATTTTCGGGTGTAGCAGGATATGCCAGACGGACCAATCGAGCTATGTCTGCTTCAAACTCCTGTAGGGATTCTCCTGATTTCTGCCAGCGGTTCTTCAGCTGTGAATGGTAAACGTGCTCTAGGTGGGCCTGTCCATACCAAGATGCTTTGCAGAATATTCGTTGCTTCTCCACGCAACGCCAATGTTAATGCTACCACCTTTTCTCCTGCATTCCATCCATTCGCTCTGGCCGCAACTTCAAATTGTCGGCGGAAAATTTGCCCAAGAAGTTTTTCCGTCGAACTGGGGCGGCTTCATGGAGAGCTTTCCTGGTTCAGAACTGGCTTTGAACTCTTTCACTTCCGGAATTGTATTTTCGGTAACCGTTTCTGTGGGGTGGGCAGAATTAACGATTTGGTTTCGCAACTTGCTAATTGTTTCCTTTATCTAGCTGATTTCTACCTCAAATTCGCCTTTGATTTCATCGCCTAATTTTTCTTTCATTCTCTTGATTTCTGCCCCGATTTCATCTTTGATCTCCCCTTTGATTTCCTCTCTGATTTTGTCTATCTCTGTTTCGATGATACCTATTCTTTCTTCGAGTAGACTCGCCACACCACAAAGTTCTTTCTTTAAGCCATCCGCATTTTCTAGAAGCTTCTCCTCCAGACTTACCGAATTTTGTTGAAGTTCATCTTTCAGCGATTTGGTGTTCTCATCGAGTTTGCTCATTATTGAACTCGAATCACCCCCAGAAACTTCGAATAAATATGCTTCCGGATCTTCTCCTGATTCAATCAAGTTATCCCATAGTCTCTTCTGGAGTACTCATAGTACCCATAGTCTCTTCTGGAGAATCTATCTCTCTCTCCTCCAATTCTTGCTTCAATTCAGCGACTTTCAAGTCCACTAGGCGCACTTTCCTCGAACACATTTTGTCTCTTATTGTCTATTTTCCACAAAACTGAAAATGTCCACTTATTTTAATAGAGTCCGAAACACTTATTTATTTTCACAAGTCTATTTTTCGCGAGAAAGGTCTATCAGTTTATGTTTCCGTAGTCCGGTACTGTCCACTTCGCGAAACACAATGAGTCAACAGTCTCTACGCAAACAAATAAGTCTTATAGTCAAGTTCACTGTAATACAAAGAGTGTCCACCAAGCGCTCACAAATTTATTTTTAAAATTAATTTCTGATCACCAATTGTAACGAATTAAAGAATTAACTGTCTTAAACAAATTTATTTTTAACAATATTTCACTATCACAACTAATTTATATACAACACTTAGCACCTAACGCTTAATTTATCTTCACGGTTAGAATTCTTTCTTTAAACGCACGATTCACTTTCTAGATACAGACTCCCTCTCTGAGCGAGGACCCGACCTTTTATATTGGTAACGAACGTTCAGATACCTCTAGGGGTTTCGGTACTCATCTATTCTTTTCGTGGCGGTTCGTCGATCGCATTCCTTTCGCGGTGAGTCATATGTTTGGTGTCTGAGATAACGGTCAGGGCCGGCTTCAGGTTCATTACAGTATTATGTGTGAAATTTTTAGGTGTATGAGTGTCTTGACTGGAGGAGACATTGTGAGGCAGTCGTTTCAAATACGAATTATGTGATTTATATGCTTTGTAATTTTGGATATGTTCTTACTCATGACCAGTTGATTATGCTGTACTTTGCTCGGGCAGAATCTCACTTGAGATATGGCATTGTATTTTGGACAATGACATCTCCCAGAAAAAAAATCGTCGTATTGCTGGTGTATCGAGTACAACCAGTTTTAAAATGTCAACTCTGCCATGTCTGTTTATTTTTGAAGTCTGAATATTTGTATCGTGCAATTTGAAATATTTTAAAACTAATGCTCAAGTGCATTCAGTCAATACAAAACAACATAATGATCTACATATACCTTTTTCAAAAAAAAAGGTCCTTTTCAATTCTCCATCAATAATTGGCTAAAGGATTTTTATTAAATCACCATTGACTGACTATGAAATCTATTCCTGAACTGAAATTATTCAAATCAGCATTGAAAGAAGTTTTATTGAATCAAGTTTTTTATTCTGTAGATGCGCTGATTTCAGACTTTTTAGATATATATATGTTCCCATTTTGTGATATGAATGTTGTAGACTTAGATATATAGGCTAGGTATTATTTTAATTTTAGGACATTGACTAATCCTATACAAATTATTTTGTCATAAAAAACAGCTTGTATGTTTTTCAATTTTTCAATGAATACGAATTGCAAAAGAGATTGACGAAAATATTTAAAATTTTACAATTTCCACAAGTTGGGATATTATTACTAAAAATGTTTTCATGTTCCTGTAAGAGATGGTTTTAATATACACATTTTTTTTACTATGGGGTATTTATTGTTGACCTCTTTTTATAAATGTTTGTATAGAATCATATTCTGAAAACAATATGCCTGCTGTATTTAATAGTAGATGACATTAGAATATAGTTAACTCACGAATAGATTTCCAGAATCTTTGCAGTCGATTATTTCATGAGGAGTGATAAGGCAACGGACTCTGTTACAGATAAATAGTATGTCCAGAATATAACAGCTCTATAAAGGGAACATTTATACAAAAAAAAATTGGGTACCGTTGTTTCTGATATTGTCAAGATTCAATAGTCTCTCAACATTATTTCTTTTTTTATATTTTTGACACTTAAACTGCGTTTTCCTGAGGCTTGTATTTTGACTCAATATTTATTATTCCCTCTCTATCTTTTCTTTGCTTAGAGGTTTGAAGATTGAGTCACAGTAAGAATTTGTGCAGACTAGTGAACTTTCAATATTTAAAATTCCACTAGAGAATTTATAGAACTTCAAAACTCAACTTACATAATATACTATAATTTACTAAGAGGAAGATTAATCTTCCTCTCGAAGATGATCACTTGGTGATCGAAACACGTGTCGAGGTGTTAAAAATAATGATTTGGTGTTGGGAAAACACTCCAGTAAAATTTAAGTGAAATTATGTCCAATATATTTATACTTGACCTAGTCATAAATTACTTTAATTTTTTATGAAACTTAACTAAGAGAAACTAATGAGTTTTTAAACTTTAGAAAAGAAAATCAATATACCATGATAAATCAGGGAATTTTACAATATCAATTAACAATTTAAAAAATGTGACTGAACTACTCACTATATCCTCCAATATGGCATAGTTTTCTTGTAAGAAAAATTCATTTTTCAAAAAACCCACATCTCCTCCCAGTCCTGCTACCTCTGAGGTAAGCTGGAATAGGGAACCTTCTGATGGAAAAATTATATCATCTCTCAAATCGAGTGATAAAATATGTTTCAATGCCGATTTCAAACTGAGTCCAGATTCTTTTCTAACATCAAAAGAAGCCGTTCTAGTAAGTACGCTTAAGTCCCTAATATTTGCTTCCCATTGAATATTGTGCTTCAGCTGAAAAAAAAAAACAATAATAAAAGTATTTCAACTTGTCGAGTACCAATTACCCAAGGAGTTGAGTAGAAACCTATGTCAAAAAGCAGTCCTCTCTCAAGTTGTTTATATCCGGATGTGGGCCATTCAGATTGGGATTGGAACATGCTTGTGGTGATACTACAAAAACATTTATTTCTCAAATTGATAAGGATATAGCTAAAATTCAAATTACGTTGGACGATGCTTTCCTCTTAGTGGTTTTACAAATGCTACGTTGAAGTTACTGGTTTTTTTCGAGCCATGGCTGTATTCTACTTGAACACGTTCCCCTCGACCAAAGAGATTAGGGGCACGCATGCCTATAAGTAAGGCACCTTCATTATTTCCAATGTGAGTGCTGACACCACCTGTTATCCTCTTGTATTCTTTTACATTAAATGTGACCTGAAACAGTTCTCTATTTTTATTGCGTCATACGTTGACTGAAAGAAAGAAAGGAAGGTCAATAAAAATCTATATGAAGTTTAGACAACAGAATTTTTTTGGTAATCTTCATATTCCTCAAAATTGAAGACAGGCTAGTGAAGGAAATTAAATTTGATCAACTCACATTTGATTAAATAATAATTTTCAGTTTTATTTGAATTGAAGGGGTTATATTTTTAGGAGTGATTAATTCTTGGGAAAGAAAGTTTTTGGCTTTCTACTACTCCATCTTGATACAAAAAAATGTGGGATTCTTCCAAAGAATAATCAATGTCTAAATTTATAAGGAAGTAATCAATTTGAAAATAGGTAACTCTATACATGGATGTGTAGTTCATCCAAAGAAGCAACTTTCAGACACAAACTGAAAGAAAGCCCTCCTGAAACAGCTACTTTCATATAAACATTGAATTACACGAAAGAAAAAAATTCTTTCGAAACAAAAACTTTAACATGAACACTGAATGATACAGAAGATACTTTTTTCTACTCAGTTTGTATTCCAAACATTCGTTATGAAATGAAATCCAGATATCATTCACAGGAGTTCTACTTTAAATGAATGGTAATAAATTGCACTTACATGGAACACCATCAATTTTAGTTATTTCAATACATTTACCTCATTGATTTTGACTATTTTATCATTTCTGTAGTTTCTTATTCGGAACCATTAATTGAAAATCGGACTTGGGTTGAAATTCGGTATGTAGGGTCAAAATTGATTTCTAAGCAATTTTTTCAAAAAACTTATTTCGGTATCTCCATCGCGAAGTAGAATATCGCGGGATCGTAGTAGGCTGGGTATAAGGCTGTCACTCGGGCTAAGTATTGCGAAAAAGTGCGGCCCATGAAGGTCTACGCTATTCCAAAAATCAAATCTCTGCTTTCAAAAATGATTAAAATACACCTTAAGTGGGCCACACTGTATATCACCCTATCTTTATAATAAATACAAAGCGATGTTATGATTAAAATTTCCAAGATCTTCGACCATGTCTTGACACCCCAGTTTTGATAATGCATGGTTAGGCAGGATAAGTACACCCACCACGTCAGCGAAATTAAAAACACTTAAAATCAGTGAGTCAAACGATGCTATCAAGGTTTTTTTACTTGGTTAATTTTCATTTCCATTTTTTTTCAAGATTATACCTTTTTTATTCAACTGCCCACATGTGGAAAAAATTTTAGATGACAGTCAATATGCAGCACTGAATTACAAGGACAACCTGTGAATTTAATAACCAACTACTTTCTTTAATTAACAAGACGGGTCTTCGCCTCACAACACTGCAATTGTCACCAATTTTTTGGCTGCAAATTTTGGTAATAATTGGATAGCCAACCGAGGACCAAACCGTTGGCCGGCCAGGTCACCGAACTTAATGCCTGTGGACTTTTACCTCTGGGGAAGGTTGAAAAATCTTATTTTTGAATTGCTGGCCAAATCTAGATACGAATCAGAAGCGGCAGTGATGCAAAATTTTGCTTCTCTCACTCCTATTGAACTAATTAATTCAGCAAAAACATTCAGAAAAGGTGTCGCAGGTGTATAAGAGAAGCTGGTAGATATTTCGAACACCTCCTCTGAAGAAATATATAGTACATATTATGGTTAAGGCCTTGAGCTTAAGGAAGCTATGTAGGCCATAAAAAAGATACATATATAAATCAATT